GACGGGCTTCTTGGCTCATTGTGAGGGGTTGGCAAGCTCACGTTCGTTTCTTAGCTACTGAAATGCTGTGACGTTTGGACTCATCTATACAGAAAGGCTACCTTTCTTACAACTAAACGTGGATAACTAAAACTTTTTTTTATTTACATGAGCTTTCAAATGAGTCAAAAGTTTTAAAAGGTTTACTGTGTCACAAAAATAACCAGACAAGGATTGCGCCGTAATTAAGAGTCATCCGCATCAACAGCTAAAGAACCTAATTTAATTTTGCTAAAACCTCCAGCTGAGCAGGAGGATCAAACACTTGAGTGGCCTTAAATCAGACTGATGTCACTTAGTGAACCTGCATTTGCTCTGCACTCTTATTTATCTGATAACTGGAACCTGCTGCAGATTGAATTAAATCAATTGAGCCTGGAGAGTAACACTGAGTAAGTTGAGAGAACCACTGCCGGTGTGTGTGCGTGACAGCAGAGGCAGGGTGTGTCTGATGTAGCAATTAATGTGTCCGTCTCTCTCCACCACTCTGCTGATAGCAGGTCTGAGTTAAGGATTGAGTGAGGTTAGAAAAGGGCAAAATCTAATTAAAGCAGAAATTTATGGCCCTGTCGAAGCACATCATACATACAAATGCTGACGTGCACAGTCACACGCACACACACTTTGCCTACAAGGGTACGTGGTGCTGTCAGAAGAGCCCATCATCAGTAATGGTTATACCTCTCTCATGGGGATTCATATGTAGGTCTACTGCAGATAAATCCTTCTTTGGGCTACACATCTACTGTGTGTACACACTTTGCTCGCTCATACACTAACAGCAGAAAATACTGCATCTAAAGCGCACTTAAATACACACTATTAATCCAATATTAACCTGATTCCAACATTAGCCTCGGCTAGATTTCAGCTCAGTCTCTCATTAGTCTTGTTATTTAAAAGCCCGGCATGTCACTTGATGACTGTTCTATGAGTAAAACAATGGCTGCGTGGGAGCACAAGCTGGGTATTGACTTTGCTGATGAGGAGTGAAAAGGGGCGATTGATAGGAACCATACAAGCTCATCAAATGCTGGACTTAAGCCCCGTTTCCACCAAGCAGTACGGTACAGTACTGTGTGGTCACTTTTCTTCCATTTCCACTGTGAAAAGTTGTGGATGGTACCAATAGAACCGTTCTGTACCGTCCCCATGTTTGGTCCCCCCTCTGTTGGGGTACCTAGCACACAGATCTGGTACTAAAAGGTGGAGCTGTGAACACTGCAGTCTGATTGGTCAGTAGAGGACGGTCACTCTGCTCAGGGCTGAATTGTGGCTGGTTTTGAGGCTCATGTAACCACTGTTCATACTGTGGAGAGATTTATTAGTAAACTGTAATTATAAAATGAAAAGATGTTTTGCTGTCTGAGAAAATAACTCACCACGCCGACTGCCACCAACTCTTAAGTTGGTATATTAACTAACATTAACTTTGACCATTAATGCAGTTTTTATATGACATACACTTATAGTAATAAGTGGATTTTTATATGTGCATGGAGGATTATATGTATTAATTTCGACTGGCTTATGTGAACTGCATATATTCTAATCCTCATTCAGAGAAAAAAAAAGCATCACAGAGCGTTGTTGCTGTGGGTTGCAGCAACACTAAACCCCTGAGCTTGCCTGAGAAGGACTAAATGCACAAACCCAACATTTTTAAATATCCCATGGAGAGAGACTCTCACTGTAGCCTGTTTTACTTTGTTCTGACAATGTCGGCGTGCAGCCTCGTTCTGTGGACGATAAACAAGGTGCAGACTGATAAAGGAGGAAATACAGTGAGTGCTGGACGGAGCAGTGAGTGACAACAACCAACATTTAAGAGTGCTGTTTGCAGTGGAAACGCTAGGGTCTAGGTACCATGTCTGAAGGGTTACTTTTAGTTCCAAAGGTACCATACTGAAAGTGTTTGGTGGAAACGGGGCTTTAGACTCATCCAGTTCAGGGTCCTACACAAGGTTCATCTCCCTAAAGCCCTGCTGTATGAAACATATCCAAAGGTAGAGCACAGGTGTGAAAGAGATCACGTGTATTTTTGCAACTTTAGTCACATCTTTCATTCCATTCACCACTTCATGCCTGTGTCTATAGGCCATGAAAAAATATTGTGAGAGACTCATTTCACACAAAGGTGTTGAGGAGTGTGAAATGTAAATGTTATGATAGATTAATAATTACTCAATCCACAGAGAACTGGGTGAACATTTAGTGTGTCAGTAGTTTTGAACAAAACCACCCTGAAAGTTCACAAAGGTCACACAATGAGCATTCTGTACCACAGTGGTGATTACCAACATGCCCTTGTGTAATACTTTTTAATTAGATGTTTGCACATCAAGCTTTAATCTGAGTGTAATCTCAGCAATCCAACTGCTACCCAAAGCACGTGGTGTGTGTGTGTGTGTGTGTGTGTGTATGTGTGGTGACCTCAGGGATTTTCACGTGAAACACCTTGCTGTCAGGTGGAAGGAAGTGCCTGGCAATTTAGCGTGTAGGTGTAGGTCATGTGAGTCTGTTGGCACTGACTAAATAGAGAAGAGAAATTAATTGTACTTGTGATCGCATCTTTTGTGTTACGTACGTATTCCGCACCTCGATCAGAGCTGTCATCTGCTCTATTGGATTTCTGAAGCCAACATCAATTATCATATTTGACAAAATTTCAGCAGATATATTTTTTTTTCCCTAAAAACAGGTAACTAGAGTAATTAGAGTATTTCCGAAAATGTCAAATACAGCTGTGACAACAACAGCATTACCAGCATTATCAAGTGATACTACCCAGTGATGAGGTTATCACCGTCATAACCACTTTGAGCTGATATAATAAATGTATTAAAAATGCAGTTCTTTGGCTCTGATGCAGCCCCTCTCTCTGCCATCTCCCGCTCTGTAGCTTTGCTTAATGTCCCACCCACAGCACTATCTAATAGGTTACTCGTCATGAGTCATATCCCATCAAACCTGAAGGCTACCGTGCCACAGACAGATAAGAAGGAGACCGGAGCTGCTCCATGTGCAGTCGGAGCTGTGTTATGTACATATGTTGGTTGTTCAACATGCTACCAAAACACGCTGTCTATGCAGTAGAAATATAGATACTTTTGAAATAGGTGCTACAGGACCAGAGGAAACAAAAAAAAAGGGCAGTAGCATTTGCTTTTGCTCAAGAGGTAGAAAAATGCACTGCACCACATCGGACCTATAAATGCTCCCGCTACTGGGTGACATAATGCAAGCTTGGCTATTCTGACAATATAACGGTCTGCTAGTGACAGACAATCTTGTATTAAAGTTAAAAAATACGCTAAAATATGTTTCTGAAAATATTTCAGGAGAGAAATTGGCAACACAGTCACAGAATCTTGGTTCATATTTGAACAGCACTACTTAGATTTAGTTTAATCACAGTTAAATCAGCCTCCATTTTCATGCAGCAAAGAGTATGGTGCCATATTCCTGTTCACAAACTTTCATATTACAACTATACAGTGCACAAAAATATGTTTCAGAAAACATTAGGGTGAGAAACAGGCAATAAAGTAACAGAATCTTGGTTATCTTTTATCAGCACTGCATGTTTTACGGTTTAATCAGAGTTTAGCCTGAGTTTGAGAGAAAGAGACTCTTTGTGTCTGTGGTGACAGGAAGGGCATACGAATAAGTGGAAGTACAATCTGTAATTTGAGCAACAGCCCCAGAGCCAGCTTAAATCATCCAGCAGATTGAGCTAAGAGATGAGAAGGGAGATCTGGGCGCTGGTAAGATAAAGGAAGTTCACCACAGTTCATTTACACATACTACCCACACTGTTGTGAAACAAAGATGGTTGAAAACTAAACTATCCCTTTAAGCATCTTGCTTGCAGTGTGTGGTTGTTTTCTGGTTTCTATATGTTATAATAGGTTTTCTACAAGTGGTTAAATCTGTTTGACGCAAGAGTTTCAGACTAAACAATGTGTCTTCACAGACGTACCGACATGGTGACATAACACATCATACCGCACACCATGGTGGCTTAATAGTGAGGAAAAAAGACGCCATTGCTCTAAGAAACAAACAAACAAGAAGTGAAGGCAGCGGGATGAGCGGCTGTAAAAAAAAAAAAAAAAAGAACAGACTCCCACAGGCTCTATCTGATCACGATCATCACTGTCTCAGACAAAGGACTCCTTCAGTCTCGTCTCCTGGTCTGTCGCCAAGTCACCTCCGGACCCAACACCATGCACACAGTGTGACTCAGGTGAGGAACACATGCTGACCTGAATGAACACAAACACTCGCAACACATGCTTCTGTACAAAAACGCACGCAAACGCTCACTCTAAAGAAACATTAGGAGCTTTCTCTTGTTCTCAATTTATTCTTCCAACTGCCAACCCCCTCCTCCCTGCTCCGAACCCCACTCCTCCCCAAAACTTGGTTTATTAATAATGCTGCTGTATAATGCTTGCTCTGGTGAATCCCTGCAAGGCATTCCTCTAAGGCTTGTTCTGACATTGGCTGGTTGCTGGCCTACTTATACCCGGCCCTTCCAAGCCTCTATGTGGGGGATCATTGTCCCTCATTCCTCCAGGGTGTTTTTTCTTTAACAGGGTCTCCTTTGAACCTGCAGCCAAGTGAAGCCTTTTGAACCAACGGCTTCTCTTCTTGGCACTGAGCAGATTTATAATGCTGAATTTAGTCTCCGCAATTCTTATCTATTCGGCAACTTATTCAGATTTCTCTCATGGAGCAAATTTGCTTATGTGCAAGCAAATCACTGGAAAGGCTTTTAACAAAAGGAGCCTGCTCATAAAATTTTAGCCTGAAGGATGTCTGAGAAGAGGACCAATTATAGACGGCTGCCTGTGCTGTCTAAAGACACACAGAAAATCTCTTTCAGACGTGTGCGTGTATGCAGACACACACTCCAGCAAAGTGACGCTTCGATTCTACACAAATGTCACACCTACCTGGTTGTCTTGGAAACAGGAGGCTTGGGTGAGGCAGTAGAGCTAGGCTTGGTGGGAGTTGCAGACGCAGTCTTGGAAACTGGTGAAGTGAAGAGGAGTAAGAGAGGAGAGGAAACAAGGGAGTAGAGAAGAGGAGAGGAAACAAGGGGGTAGAGAAGAAGAAAGAAAAATGGAGAGAGGAGAGGAGAGGAAAGGAGACGAGATGAGACAAGACGAGATGAGGGAGGAGAGAGGAGGAGCAGAGGAAAACAAGGGAGGAGAGGAGAGGAGACAAAGGAGGAAGAAAGGTAGGAGAGAAGAGGAGAGGAAACAAGGGAGGAGAGAAGAGAGGAGAGGAAACAAGGGAGGAGTGTAGATAAGAGGAGGCAAGGTAGAAGAGAGGAAACAATGGAGAAGAGAAGACAGAAGAAGAAACAAGGGAGGAGTGGAGAGGAGGCAAGGTAGGATAGAAGAAGACAGAAGAGGAAACAAGGGAGAAGAGAGAAGAGGAAACAAGGAAGGAGAGGAGAGGAGGCAAGGTAAGAGTAAAGAAGAGAGGGGAGGAAACAAGGAAGGAGAGGAGAGGAGGCAAGGTAAGAGTAAAGAAGAGAGGGGAGGAAACAAGGAAGGAGAGGAGAGGAGAGGAAAAAGTAAAGAAACATCAGAACCATCAGAGCAGTATTGTATATGACAGTATATATAGTAACATATATCACAGATATAGGTCATGTCATAAGGATCTGGGGCAAATGCATTTCTAGATTACCAGCAGTCACTGTGGCATGTGTAATATGTGTGCTCAATCCATCCTATGTGCATGTATCCGCGTGTCATCACATTACAGTCAACACTCCTCATTAGAGCAGAGCTGAGAAAACATTTCACGCTACACTTCCTGTGTATGTGTTTTTTCCCTCATAGCCTACATTCTGAATCACACTTTGCAACTTTATGTTTTGTGATGACATTTTCACCAACCTGGGGGCTTTTTAGCAGCAGCTGCAGTGGTGCTGGTTTTGACACCATTAGCAGTTGTTGTGGATGGTGTCTTTTTGGCTGCTGTCGTTCCGGTCATCGACTTTGCGCCATTGGTGGCAGGGGCAGGCCCTGTGGCTTTCTTCTCACCCACTTTGCTCTTGGAGGCTGGGGCTGCGGCCGGAGCTGTTGGTTTTTTGGAGGGAGCTGGGGTAGGGGTGGTCTTTTTGGCCGCAGCAGGTCCTGTCTTCTTAGCCACTCCATTGGTCTGGGGCTTAGACACGCCATTCGACAGGCGGTTCTGGGATCCGTTGGGCCGTGACCCAGATGTGGTCTTGGTTGCGCTGGTGGCGCCAGGTTTCGTCTTGGTTGTGGTCTTGTTGGCAGCCTTGGCTTTGGAGTCTCCTGAAGTCTTGTTGCTGGGCTTATCAGCTGGGGTTTCCTTGGCCTGGTCTGGCTGGGGTTCCTCCTGGCCTGTTTCTCCTGCAGGTTGCTGTGGCATCTCCTCCTCCGCCGGACTGGCTGCCTCGTTGGGCTCCTGTCCTGCGGCTGGTGCTGCCTCATTTACTGGGTTGGATTCCAATGTTTCCATTGGCTCCAGCGCCGCCGTGGCAACCCCATCCGGCTTCATCTCCCCTTGAGTGGTAGTGGTCCGTCTCTGCAGGGCAGGGCTGACTTAGATCTCACAGGATGGCCACAGGTCTACAGGCTTTCTGAGACAGCACGGTCTGGTCTATGAAGAGACAGAATACAGTACAACACAGTCAACAGCAAGACCAGACATGAAAAGCAGTGTGTTGTCTCTACTATCAGTACACAGAGCACCAGGAATGTTGTCAGCTCCAGGAATCAGATAAAGAGATGGATTGTATCTCCTTACAGCTTCAGCATCACACACACACAGAAATATTTTTATACAAGTGTCCAAGTGCTAAAAGTACGGTTGGGTACCGAACTTCGTACTTCTAAAAGTACCGACCAAATTACAGAAGTACAACAGAGTACTGATTCTCATTAAATCCATCTGTGCCAAATTTTGGTACCTGAGAGCACATCTGGGTGAAAGCACGGATTTAGATAAGAGATGGAAGTGCTGCAAAGCGCCCCTAAGCCGGCTATGAACAAGGAAGCTCTGCAGAGCTGCAGGGGTCAAATTCAGCCAGGAAACAGAAGCCCCCCAAAGCTGGGAAGCCAGCCACAGCGCTCCACGGCTCATCCGTCAGCTTCCTAGCAACTAAAACTATTGATCTGCAGCAATATTTTCGACATCTTGTCTATTTTGTTTTCCGAATTATTTTAGCTATAGGCTTGTGTCACTGCTAGAGGAGCACACAAGTAGTAGAAAGCAAAGAAAAAAGGGGTCACTGGGTACAAGTATCGGATTACAGGTACAATAAATGGTACCGTATCAGTTCAAAAGTGAAAGGTACCCAACCCTAGTTAACAGGCAAAGTAACTGCAGGACATAAATGGAACAGGACATGCCATTATAATTTATCAATTGAACTGTTGCATCATCCAGGAGAGGACTGAAGCCTAGCTAGGACAATGCAATACACAGAGAAAGACACAGCACAAAAAAGGCGGTCATACAAAAACAAATCACAGCTTCATAAGTCGTGCTCGGAGGGAAGCAATTAGATCAACACATTTCATGTTATGTTTTCTGTCTCAGGGACCACAGGAGGAGGAGCAGAGGAGAATATGTCTCCTACTGCAAAAACAACACATTCTACAAATAGCCTTAATTAAGTTCATGCCAACTGCAATGCAGAGGCAAATGGTCCCCTCTGTGCCACTAAAAAGCTCAGTGACACACTTGGCCGGGGTGGCTGCTACGGGTTGGCTTCTTTTTTTCCCTGGTACAAAATGGCATCAGAGTCACTAGTGTGGAAGACTAGTTTTACAGGATAGTACACTTAAGGGAGCGCAAAAAGCTTAGCACGCAAACTGGACACACACACACACACACACACACGTATATGCCACCTGTAGTAATGTTAAGACACGCATGTTTGGAATCTGCACATGCATGAGAAAAGCTAAGACAGCCTGCTTCACACTATTAGGTTAAAATGGTTATAAAAAGAAAAGTAGGCTGAGGTGGGAAAAAGGCTGGAGTGTATTTGCTAAGTGGGTCAAGGCATGTACAATAAACCCAAAGATAGGCAGAGAGTTTGACTCATGGGCTGCAAACGGAGCAGTCAGCGACATGAGCAACTGAGGACAAGAAGTGGGACGTGAAGCATACGAGGCCTGATGAAGGGCAACCATCTGTAATACGAGCTGTCATACATTGTCTGCATCAATATTAAACAACTGTCTCTTATTTGGTTTCCTCAGCTACTTGCAAATGGAAGGATGAGAGGAAACGGAAAGGTTTTTACAAGTCTGAGAGAAGCAGTGAGGGAAGTGAGGGGGGGAGTAGCAGCAGGAAACTGGCTTGTCAAAGTTTACCAACAGAGCGAGGAGCCGGCTGCGCAGGAGGCTAAGTGGTGAGACAAACTCTGAGGCAACACAGAGGCCGGCCCAGAGGAAGAGGCTTGGCCTGTGGAGCATGGGAACAGTCAGAGAAGGTGGGACGGAGGGAGAAAAGAGACAGGGGAAAAACAAGATGTAAAATGAGCTCACTATTGGCTGATATTTGCTGGTCCGACTCTAAAATCCAGACAACACTAGTCATCCCAGTTTCCACTGACCTAAACGTGCACACACTCACTGTCCTATTTCTAGAGGACAGACATCATCTTTTTGCCGCGAGCTTCCTGGAAACAATTCCCGCACACTCTTCCTCGTCTTTCTTTCCCTCTTCCGTCATCCTTTACTCATCTTCTAAACTAAATCTCACATGTCAAAAAAGGCCTTCTTTCATTCTCCAATGATCCTCCTTTTCTCTCAAACATTTTCCCCTCCTCGATTTCTTTCCTCCCCCACCACTACGGCTCTCCTTCCATCCCTCTGTTCTCTGTTTGCCTTTGCACAGATGGCCGGAGCAGCTGAGCAGGGCCAGAGGGGGAGAAACTGAGAAAAAAATATCCATGTATCCCAAACAACACATAAGAACAGACACACACAGCTAGTGCAACAGGCCGCCACCCAAAACAACCGAAGAGGCTGAGAGGGAGACGACGGGTAGTAGCGAAGAACAAGTCATGCCACACCCTTCTGTCACAGGGGTTTTTAAATGCCAGTGAGGCTCCAAAATGTGGACAGCTGGCTTAATTATGTGACTAACTACAACCAGTCGCAGCTTTTAGGAGAGAGGGTGGACACTGGTGGGAGTGAGTGAGGGGGAATAAAGACATTTAAATCCCAGACTGTTTTCATTTTTGTTTCAGAACCTGTGGTTCAGACTGTCTTTTATTTCTAACCTGCACTCATATTTGACTTAACTTTGAGGTGGCTAATTGCAAGGATCCAGATCTTTGAATCCACCCACTCCACAGAGTTTGAGGTTCTGATTCATCTTGCATCTTGACATGAAACAGCTGTTTCTCAGTTGAAATAAAAAACAACCGATGGGACTAATGTCGTTGTCAAGCAGTGATAACCAATGAAGAGTGATAACAACAATGGCTAGCCCTATAGACGCTGCTATCAAGGCTGTTGTCAATTATTAAATAAAGTTGGGCACTTTAACATGGGAGTCTGTGGGGACTGACTCACTCTTGGAGTCAGCCTCAAGTAGCCATTAAATGAATTGGGAGTTTTGGCACTTCTGCGTTGGCTTCACTTTTCAACCCTGGAAGTTGCCTCTTGGCTGAAACGTCAACTGCTGCTGATGTTGATTAAGCTAATGTTAGCTCCAAAAATGCCGTCACTGGTTTTTTTTAGCTGACTCATTTTAAAATTATAAGAGCCCTGTAAAAGGGGTCTCATATGCACTTGATGGTTACATTCATGATATCGAGTGAAATGATTTTGTGTCCCAGGCACAAAGTCAGCATCCTCACCAGCTGACGATGTATGTAGAAGGCATGGAAACATAACATTACAAAAGAAAATATTTTAAGGACTAGGACTAACCAATGTCTGACAGTATCCAGCACTGGGGCTAACTACATCATAACCACAAGTATATTTCAGACCTGTGGGAAACAAAGTTTGACTAAGACGTGGCATATCTATCAACACTGTGACCTAATTCGACCAAGCAGTGAACCAGGAAATAAGACTGTGTCCAATCACCAATCCCTCCTCTCTATGTCAGACTTTAGTGTTCTGCTCTTCCCACAGTAAACTAAAGCATCTGGCCTGGCTGTGCATTTCACTGCTACCCTACACTGCTGGTGTGTGTGTGTGTGTGTGTATGAGAGAGAGTGATAAATCCTGATTGCACGGCCACAGCCAGAGGAACATTTCTCTTTCTCCAGCAAGTCTCCAGACAGCTGTGATATTGCACTTCTCTCTCTGGCTCTATTGCTCACTCGCCTGGCCTTACGTCATTAGGACCATCAGTCAGCGGGAAGCATAAACAGGTTAGCAACTAGGGCAGGAACACACTTCAGAAACAGACTTTTTATCTACTCTCCACAGAAACTGGAGGTACGGAGGGATTTAAGACACATCACGACACTTTCACTATGTCAGCAGCCAAATAAACAGAGATGACAGTTATCCCACCCTGGCTCTCGCCTCTTTACACCCCACTGTAATTAAATTTCTGATGATTCTATCTTTCTTACAGCATCCTCCTCACCAATTCCCTACTAAACGTTCAGACTTCAGTGACTGTGACCACCATGCGGAAATCTGAACTCATTTCTAAGTGCGTATTTTTCCATTTGTAAGACTTTGGACTGACATGTAATTGTTTCGTCAATGTGCTGCGACAGCTTTATATTATCTTGAATTTCAGCCCTAATTACTGCAGCACTCCCAACTGAAACATCGAACCCATTAAGGCTATTACGGGTTTTCATTAAACCTAATTAGATTGTGGAGAGTTATTGCCTTTCAAACGGACTGAGTGAGCTTTTGTTACAAGGGAACACATCTGGTGAGAGCCTATGCAGAAGCTGTAAAATGTTTGCTTAGATGGTAATGTAAGGAAATGAGGTAAAGTTCAACCATGTCTTCAAACAGCTGGTTACAAACATCTAAATGTGCAAGTTAAATGTCTCAGTAATCGTTTAATTCTATTTATCAATGAGCGGTTTTGCTAAGAAATCCTTCTTTCTACAACCTCCTGCTTCACATTCATACAACACATATTAGGACTGGGGCACTTTGTGGCACAACTCTAGCTTTCTCCATTTACGACTAAGCAGCTTCTCTACAGGAACTGGGGATTAAATGCGTTGCTGGTTCACTGGCACTTCTACCAGAGCTGCTGCTGATGGTGGATTTTCGTTGCTCAAATGGGTTACGGTGAGATAACATTACCATACATTGCATTACACAATATTTCACTGGGGTTACATTGCTTAAGTTCTCTCTCCAATTATAATATGGACTGGGGTATCGATTCAGCCCACATCCACACTAATATGTTTTTGTTTTTAAAACTAATACAACCTCCGTCCACATGAGTATTTTGGCATCATTTCAGAACGAGCATACCTGCAAACCCATATTGTAATACCATTCATGTACACTGAGCATGCACATGCAGGATGTAAACAGGAAGCAGATAGTCCACTCTATGGTTGGTGGCTTTGTTACAGAAAATACTACAAAGATGGTGAAAAGTAGGACTAGAGATTTCTTTGCTTGGACCACCAGAGGTGTAAG